TTTTTTTTTTTTTTTTTTTTTTTTGCATATGAAGATTACTGTTTGACAGAAGGACCATTCTTCATCAAAAAAAGTTGAGCAAAAAACTTATAAGCAGTTCTCAAGACCAATTATCAAAACAAACTGTGTAACGCCAATAACATATAGTCATTGTCCCCATTTACTGGAGAGTACTGTACTCTCTCATAACCTCTGTTTCACAGAATATTACAATACCCAAACAAAAAACCCCCAAAACTATAACACTGACTAACTTCAACAGCAGCACTGCAGAAAATTGTTTTGAAAGGTCTAAACATCAGAGAGCACTTTGCCCTGGATGTTGTTCAGTGCTGTCTGACCTAGTGGATTAAGCATATATAGGGCATATATTCAAAATCTTAGGAGATCTCCGTGGAAGGGGTTTTCTGTGGGAAACTCTAGAGGCAATGAAAGCAGTTACTTTTTTCAATTCTTCTGGCAAGTTTGATGCAGAAAACAGGGTAGATAAATGCCTTATCTTATGCTTGCTGCACCCATTCCATTCTTAGATGAAGGATTCTCATTAGAGTGGCCAGCAACCACTCTCCCTCATCAATACCAGCATGAACACAGTACTTAAAATGTGCTGACTTTACCTAGCCACCTTTCTATGAAGTGGGCTCTCTAGTTACACTAAGCCTTTACCTTATGGTGGATCTGAAGGACTTTGTCTCTTGTTGCCCTGGTGTAAAGTCAGTTTGGGCAGATAGATTCCATTACAAATAAGGACCATTTGGGCCATTCCTGTCTTTCTTTATAGATATCCTGAAGACATTTAACTGTTCCCTGAGAAATTTCCAAGCCCCTAATACTTGAGACTGCATCAAACTACTGAAGCTTTTCAAACCTGGAACTTACCAGTTTGCACAAAACCCAGTAGCCACTGCCATAACCAAGTGGGAGAGACAGGGGCAACTGCCCTAGGCACTAACTTCAGGGGGCTGGGAGGGCAAAAAAGGAATAACTGCTGCCATCACCTGGGCATTTGCATTTGCAATTGCTGTGGTGACTAGAAGTCACCACTTCTGCTTTGCACCACATGCCCAACCATGGCCCTACATTGCTGTATGCAACTCATAAAACCAAGAAAAACTGTTGCCGGAAAACTATGTATGACAGGGGTCAGCAATCTGTCACTAGTAGCAGGACAAATTAAAACAGCTCAACCCCAAGGGGGGCTGCACAAAACATCAACCCCTCACTAAAGTGAATGTGCTGACCTAATGTCGGAGCAAGACTTCCAATTATACAACAGGCTGACCTGCTACTCCTGCTTTCCCCAACACTGTCCCTGCAGAGCCCTCCCTGCTTTCTCAGTGCTCTGCTTGACCATCCAACACCTAGATAGGCCCAGCTTGCCTCCCACCAGCCCCCTGCCACTCCTGGTTACCTACCTGATCTCCATGGGCCTAATCCAGACTAAGTGCCACCCCACCATAGCTCTTGCTGAGTCAGTCAGGCCCTCAGCAGCCCATGCTGCATGGGGCTGGCACCAGGTATATCAGCCCCAAAGTTGACTCCTCCTCCCTCCATGGCTTCAGCTTCTGTTTAGTAGGCTGGATAAAATATCTTCGTTATCCAGATCTGGTTTATAGGTTGCTGACCCCTG